GGGCTGTCACAGGGGAGCCATCAGCCCCATGGGTTGGGGGGACACCCCTGGCTGAGTCAATGGAAGACACTCCCCATCCACTCCCAATCAATCCCATTACAGACTCAGAGAGAGTTACTGCCTACAGGAGCATGGGACTCACTATGGGAAGTTGGAAAGAACATTTTGGGGTTGTGCAAGACTTACTATGGGATGTTTAGGGGAAAAACCAAAGACAGGGGACGGGAAAGATTGACTGGGGAGGAACAAGTGTGGAAGAATACAGAAGAAAGGGGATAAAAGGAGCTGGACATATGTGAACAGGTTACTGGTCAGTATGCTTGTGCTGAAGTGCAGCAAGGGCCGGGGCCTTTGCCAGCCAGCGCTACATCCCTGGGGATGATGATGTTGCTGTGCTCAAGGACACAGATAGCAAAGCTGTGCAAACGACCTGTTGATCATCAAGAAGTGCAAAAGTGTCCAGAAGTAACTGAAGCAAAAATCAGAAAGCAACAACAACAAATCAGAAAACAAATGGCGTAATCATCACTGAGGTATTCTCTAACCAATCCTGTAACTAAGGACATGGAAAAGTACTGGGGTAACTGGAGGTGGCTGGAGAGGGAGGACCTATGACCCTGCTCCAGGATGCAGGACCATCTCTGCAACCTCTGCGGAATTCAGGGAGCAGAAAGGAGCTCAGGGAAATGCATGACCCACCCATGACCCTCTGCTAGGATGACACAGCATGGCAGGAACCACCACACTGACCCACCCAGCCTCCCTCCAGCATTGCACCATCCCTCACGCAGAACAAGGAGCTTGTGAAAGAAATCACAATGCCAGCCTGCGCAGCTTCTCTGCCTTGCTGCACCATCTCTCCCATGGCACAGGGAAGTAATGTGATTTGTAAAATTGCATACATCTTTGTATTGAGCATAATTGGCAGGGGCAGGGTTTTTTTTTTGAGGGGGGGCTGCAGGGGTGACCTGGGAAGGTCACAGCTGCACTGGACACAGCCACTTTCAGCTGGCTCCAGCAGACCCACCACAGGACACAGCTGAGCACATCAGCCAAGCTGGTGGTGCCTCTGAGCCCATCAGATGAGTTTATAGCACCTCTGGAAGAGATGTATTTAAGAAAGGGTAGAAACTGCCAGCACAAAAGAAAAAACCACCAGGCTGGAGGAGGAGGAAAGAGAAGACCATACCTGAGCACGGGCCGGAGCGATGCAGCTGCCTGAGCAGGGCCCACAAGGCATGACTCTAAAGGGACTGCTACTGATGGAGGAACCACCACTGACCCCACTCTCCTGCGCTGCCCATTGCCTCACCAAAGGGACTGAGTGCAATGTGCGGTGAGGGGATGGGAGAACAAAAAGAGGGGGAGAGGTGCGCAGAGGGAAGAAGGGGTGGTTTTTCTGAGGGTTTGTTTGCACTCCATTACAGAATCAGCTCTCTAAACTCCCTCCCAAGAAGGGAGAGTTTCACTTCCACTACCCCTTCTGAGTCATTCTGTGTTACTGTCAGGGATACTACTGTCCTTCCAAACTAGACTGTTCTGGTTCAGAAAGAAATACAGACAAGCCTTCCACCAGTGAAGCCCTGCTCCTGATCCCAGCTAAAACATACATTGAATTGAAACAGAACTCGGCAGATCTTCTGACCTCAGGACTGAAAATGAAAACTATTATCAACAGGTCAAATCCTCACCCTAACACCTGTCTGAGATATCTCAAAGACCATTTGAGCATCTTTGCTCTCAGCTCTTCAGTTCTTATGCCCCAGAATGTGTCTGGGTTCAAAAGGAAAGCTCTCTGGTTTTGTAGCAATCAAAGATGTTTAGGGATTCTCAATGTTCAAATCCTGGAATGCCGCTACTCACATGCTATGCTGGTTCAAGCCAATATATTGACGCTAACCGGTATGTTGCTCTCTTTTTATCTGCTGAAGGATACGGTGTTGCAGGAAAAGAAGCTCCTTAAACCTGCCTGATGAGCCACAGCAGTCAAATCTGACAAGCAGCACTATCCACCGGAGGGCAGAGAGAGGCCAGGGAAATTTGGCCAGTAGAGCAGCTGAGGTCAGGCTGAAAATGCTTCTGCCTAAATACGACCCCGAACTAGAAAGATCCTGGGTTGCCCAAGACAGAAGGAAACTGGTACATTGGGAATAACTGGCAGAGTTTTGGTAGGGGGGGGCTAGAGGGGTGACCTGTGTAGGAGAAGGTCATGGACTGCCCTTCAGTCACAGCTGGTTCCAGCTGGCTTGGCAGCAGACAACGCCAACCCACCACGTGCCAAAACTTGAACCAGAGAAGCATATAGCACCTCTGTGAAAACGTATTTAATAATGAAGAGCAGCTGCTGGGAGGAGATGTGTGAGGATACACATGATGACACACAGAAGACACAGGAGCAGATACATACTGAGGGCACTGCAGCCCATGAAGGAATCCCTGCAGAAGCAGGTACTACCCTGAAGGGGACTGCAGTCTGGGGAGGAGTCCACACCGGGGCAGGTGAAAAGTGTAAGAAACGTGAAGTGGCAAGAAAAGAAACCACTACACACTGATGCCAACCTCCTGTGCTGCCTGGTGCTTCGCTGAAGGGACTGAGCCTAACATTTGGCGAAAGCAAGGGGAGTGGAGACTAGAAGGGGGGAGGAGAGGTGTCTGGATTGAAGTTGAGGTGTTTTCCCTAGGCATTTAATTTTTATCTTGTTTCTCAGTACCCCTGAATCAGTAATTAGAAAATATGTAGTTGGCAATAAATTAAAAATCAGTGAAACTTCCCAACATGAGACTGCTTTGTCCACAACAACTAGACAGATTAGAAAAGACAAGTGCTGGTCTTTCTTAAGATTATGCTCTGTTTAGGAGCCATCCTGGATGCAAAGGTGTACTTTGGTGCAGAATGTGGATCCTTGAGCTAAGATCTGCCCTGGAATGGTTCCTAGCAAATTCAGCCCTTAGAAGAAATGATAGAGAACAAATGTTAAAGGCAGTAAGAGTGAGAAGCTCTTGCATTTTGTTCTTCCAGATAAGGAGGTGTAAGAGACCTGTTCTGGTGTGAGGTCCATCTAGGCCATTATCTTTCCCGAGATGGTAGGTGAAAGTATGTTAGCACTGGAAGATGTGGTGGAGGACACTGCATCTACCTTCAAAGACATCACACTGAGTCCTTATTTGATGCTGTATGCGAAAGGTAACTCCTGTTCCAGTGGTCTTTGAAAAGTTCACCTGACAGGTATGATTTGAGCAAGTGCAGGTGAAATAATTTTGGATTGAGGGAGGATGCTTCTTTTTTGGAGAAGACTGCATACTGTGCAGGGGTGTATGTCAGTGTGTGCACACCTGCAAATATCAAGTTGGATTAGCCAGTGAGTAGGGTAAGAGGCTTGGGAGCCCTGTGTTGGAGCTGCCATAGGTCTGGGCTGGATACTGGCCACACCAGAGTGGTCTGACAGTTGGCTCCTGGAGGCACCAGGAGGTCCAAGCCAATTACTGGAGAGACCGTGAGGTCAGGTGTCAACTGAGACCAATCTGCAGGTATATGTCTCTGTGCATGAGTCAAGGGGAGAGCAGGGGATCCAGGGACAGTTACTGGGGAGATCCATAGTGCATATGTGTAGATGTTGGTCTGTGTGGGGGCATGCAAAGTAAACTGGAAGGCCAAGGGTCCAGGGTCAGTTACTGGACAGACTGAGTATCTAAGGCCAACTACTGGAGGGATCCATATACATATATCCATATATATGTACACATTTCACACTAACAAACCTTTAACTGCCAAAGAGGGGGACAGGATTAGGCCGTTTGTGCCACCTATGTTTGTGTGGTCAGCTGTATATATGTGTATATGTATCTGTGGGCCTACTGGGAATATGTGTAATAGGCCACCTCACTACTGACTGCACGTGGCAACATGGAGCTGTGGCAGCCTTGCTTCTGTTGGGCTATCAGATTCAGCAAACCTCAAGCCAATGAGTTTCTCTCACAATATAGAAAGAAGCTCCAGCATTTGCAGATGACTGACTCTGCACAAAGTACACCATTCTCACCACACCCTTCCCAAACCCTCCAAGTCCCAAGCCCAACAGAGGTCTTCAAGCTTTCTCAGGTGATGTACTGCCCAGTGAGACAAGGAAGACGTGACCATTCCTTCCTGGGATTTGATGCACCAGTTACGGAAGGCAGATGAGCACCTCACTGCCTGGCAAGCAGCAGCATCTCAGGCCCTCTGTGACAACTGGCCAAACCTATCAACTGGATCGTTGGGCCGGGGCCAACTGTATGAGGTTCAACAAGGCTCAGTGCCGGGTCCTGCACTTGGGTCACAACAACCCCATGCAACGCTACAGGCTGGGGAAGGAGTGGCTGGAGAGCTGCCTGGGGGAAAAGGACCTGGGGGTGTTGGTTGACAGCTGGCTGAACATGAGCCAGCAGTGTGCCCAGGTGGCCAAGGCAGCCAATGGGATCCTGGCTGTGGCCAGTAGGACCAGGGAGGTGATAGTGCCCTGTACTCAGCACTGGTAAGACCACACCTCGAGTACTGTGTTCAGTTTTGGGCCACTCACTACAAGAAGGACATTGAGGTGCTGGAGCATGTCCAGAGAAGGGCAACAAAGCTGGTGAAGGGTCTGGAGCACAAGTCTTATGAGGAGCAGCTGAGGGAGCTGGGGTTGTTTAGCCTGGAGAAGAGGAGGCTGAGGGGAGACCTTATTGCTCTCTACAACTACCTGAAAGG